AAGGAACTAGAAAATCACCAGAGTAATAGTTGCAGGCAAGAACCATCTTTGGATGCTGAAATTAATGGACAAAGATATGATGAGAAACAAGCTATCTACAGAGTCTCAAGGCATTGCTCCACCAGGTACTCACAACTACAAAGGTAAAATCAGATAACTTCACTGTCGAAAAAACCTCATTGACACAATCTTAATCAAGTTATCGAATTTAACATACCAGTAAAAAGATATGAACATCAGGTATTCCCTACTTTGAGGCTTAAGATGGTCCAATATGTCTATATTCTTCTATGAGAAAATAAATGTATTTCTCCCACTAATAAAAGGAAAATATTAAACATTAAGCAAACCATATAGAGGGACATTTTACAACATATATAATCAGTGCTCTTTGAAAGTATCAATGATATTAAAAACAAAGAAAGAGTGAGGAATTGTCAAATGTCAGAGAGACTAAAGGCACTTGACAACCACATGCAATTTGTATTCTGAATTGGATTCTTCTACCAAAAAAGGACATGAAAGGGATAACCAACAAAACTCAAATAAGAGCTGTAGAATAATTAATAATATTGAAATGATGCTAATTTCCTATAGTATTCTAACATTTTGGTAAATCTAATTTTATTTCAAAATAAAATGTGTTTCCTTTTTAATACAACATTTCTAGGTGCAAAAACCCCAGTATGAGGAACAACTCATTTTGACTTACTATTATAATTTTTGTATTAAAAGAGGTTATAAAATTATGTCAGATGCCAAATCTCAAAGTCCAATTCTTATCATGTATTCTGGATTGCAGTAAACAGGAAGCAAGCCAATGAATAAAAACACACTTGCTAAAACCTGCATGGTACACTGTTCACAAAGAGATAAGCCAGAGGGGTGGCGGGGAAATGAACATTCTGGTCATACAATGGCCCACAATATCATAAAGTAAAATTAAAATAAATATTTTTTAAAAAGCAATTGAATCAGCACATGATGAGTTCATGACTCGAGGAATGTTTGTGGTATTCATTTTTATGACTCTGGTAAGAAATGTTTATTATTAGGAAAAGGTTGAATTGGTTCTGATACATACCCAGATTTCAAGTCTGTTATCCTCAAACAATTTGTAGCATCCAATCCCACTTTTCCATTCCGGACCACACTAGATATGAATGGGGAAAGCATTGGAGAAATTCGGTTCAAGGCCACTTCTGGGGACATTTTAACTTGACTTGTAAGCTACCACTGAAAGCAAAAGGAAAGAATGATGATCAGAGTCAACAACAACAAAAAATTAGATACAACAAAGCTTCCTAAAAGTTGGCACAGCCCTCAGAATTTTCCCTTGCATGAATAAATACTTCATTTCCCCCTCTAAGGAGCCTCTTGCAATGACCCTCCGAAAGAAATCATTTCCCTGCTGCTCAGCCACTCAGGACATAGACTGCACCACTGCTTTTTAGAGACAGAACCCTTGAAGGACAACTCTCTCCTCCTTTCTGAAGATGATTCTTGCTCTACTCTATTTAAAGCTGTTCCACTCTAGCCAGGCATGGTGCTATGTACCTATAATATCTGCTACTCAGGAGGCTGAGGCAGGAGGGTCACAAGTTCAAGACCACCCTGGACAACACAGATCCTATCTCAAAACAACAACAAGCTGTCTCCCTCTATCTTTTTACTGCCTCTCCCACTTCAGTTCAGACCAAGAAGCATTCACTAGCAATTATCTCCCAACATACAAAAAAATACTCCACTCAGTTAAGAAGCCCTTCTTTGGTATCCCCACAAGGAGTAAAAAATTGATAATAATATTTTAAATTCTAAAACAAGCACAATCAGCTTGCAATTCTTACTTACCAGAAATTATTTACAGCTGTTATACCTTCCTCCACAGTGTATTCTAACCTCCTGCTTATGTGCTTGCCCCTACTTGGACTTGAATCTTTAGTGTTTTAACAAAAGTATCTGGCAAACACTAAGCATTCAGTAACATTTTACAAATGAGTAAGAGGACAAATGCTAGAAAAATATTTAAGGATAGGAAAAATATAATATGCCCATAAAAATTTTGGCAGGAGAATAAATGTAACAAAATGAGAGGAAAAAATCTACATAACAATTAAATCATGAAAACACACACCTATGTAGATGCTAAGCAACACAGACTAATACAAATCTTTCAGTCTTCGACTTTAAGGCACTGAGAAGTCCTTATACTTGAAAATATAAAGCAAAACCAATAAATCATATCTAAATTACTTGGAAACTCATGGGAGTACATCAATTCCTCTTAATAGAATTCTAAATGAAAGCCTACTTTCCGAGGTGAATAATTCAATTTAAATGATCACTTTCTTCCTCGAAATGAAAGAATAATCCCACATCAAAAACAAATAAGTTTCCATCCAGTTACAATTACAAGAAACTGATATTCTCATTCTAGTTTTTCATGTATTATGCCACATGAGAACATACAAATGTTGAAAAAATTACAATAAATACTATTTTCGGTATTTAGTATTTGTTTTTCATTTCAGACAGTAATAAAGGGAAGGGCTGCAGTGATCTGTCAAAAAATAAGAACTTTGTCAGACTCTTTAGTGATGAAACCAAGAAGTACCTCTGAGGTAGCAAAAGCTTTATACTTTATGTGTTTAGTTCCCAAATGATCTTTTCTGCAAATATAAAAAAGCTCCTATTCTAACTCTTTAGCAGATGACCTACCTCCACCACTGTCATCACAAGGAAAAAAAATTATGCATTATACTATCAACCATAGAAATCACCTTTACTTTATAACATTTTATCACTTACAAAGAGTTTTCACATACATTATTACAGTTGCTCTTAACAACCTGGGTAGTAAGGCAGGTATTTTAATCCCCATTTTGCAGATGATATGGATAACTGTGGGGGGTTGTACAGTATATTAATCCATATAATCATTTTGAAGGCTTTTCTTCCTATTCTGCAACATTTCTAACTTTATTTCTATCCACTAATGTCACAGTTCCTGAAAGGATGCTTATCTAGATCATAAGCAAAACACACAAATATTCATCTCAGAAAAAAAAGCATAAGGATCTCACAGATATTATTCTTCCATTTTTTTTTCCCCACAGTACCTACTATTATTTTACCTCTCGTTTCTACAAAAAGAAAGGGGGGGGAACGGAATCAACAAATTTTCAATCTCGACTACTGACAGATTAAATTATTCACCTCCTAAATTATTCACTTCCCCCTACAACTCTGTTCCCTGGTGAATACTGTCCCCATTCTACAGACATGAAAATTGAAGCTCTGCAAGCAAGATGCTTTATTCAGAGTCACAAACATGGCAAACAGATAAGAATTTAAATTCAAATTCGAATTTTGAGGATTCTCAAAGTCCACTATTCCTGTCTTCCTATCAAATAACATAAGTTAAAAAGATCACATAAATTAAAAAACATCAAGGTGATTTTTTTTTCTTGACATCAAGACTCAGTCAGAATTTAAATAAATGATTGTTTCAAAACCAGAGACAAACTAGACTACTGTGGACCTACTGCGGAAGTTGGCTTAAATGATTCAATAGTTAAATTCTAAACCTGAACCAGAAGCTAACCATACTAACAGTGAACAATTCAGCAAGTGTCATGACTTTAGGATGACACTGAGGGAATGAATTTGGCTTTATTTCTGGAACAGTCATAGTACTATTTTTTTTTTTTTGATAGTGCTAGATTCCATGCAGGATTGACATCTTTTTCAATCATGAGAAGGTGTGACTTATCTAAGAAAGAGGGAAAGAATACTGGTTCCAAAATCGGGTCATTGAATAATAACCAAACAAGGTGGTCCTTTGGTGCAGTGAGCAGGGACATGGATTGGACCACTTCCCCCTAAATAAGACAAATGAGACAATGGCAATATTGTAACAGATTCCAGATAGCCAGAAATTTGGGGTAGCCAGCCTCTTTTGAATGCCAGTTCTGCAATTTGTATTTCCTGATTTTGACGTACTGCATAAGGAAAATGCAAAAATACATTTTTACAAAGATCTCCTGCCCCAAAATAAGGTCACATCAGGTCTTCTGGTAGGCTGCCTGGGGAATACAAAGACGTCTAAAGCACTGTCCAGGCTCTTGCAATTAGGATAGGATGACAAGCACGGAAACACGTGTCCAGTTGACGTCATGGAACGGAAAGGGGTGGCCCCCCCTTGCTGCGTCACATCAACGTCATACAGCACACGAGGGAAGTCACACTGGGGAAGCAATTTCTCCAAGGGGCAAAATCAGGAAAAACAAATCGTTTCAGACTCAAAGAATGACCACCCAACTCCAAGAACATTTAAAAGGGGACGCTCCCCCTTCTCCCAAATTGTATGATCCCCTCATCAAGAGGAAAGAGGGATCACCCTGAGGGTTCATTAGGGACCAAGGGGTGGACCAGAAAGGGAGACAGGTAACTCTGAGGTTTGGGGGACTCGTTCTTGAGTGGACTAGCGTGATGGGGGTGAGCAGGGCATCTTTGAAACAGGGGGCCTTCTCTATAGGAAGAGTAGGCAAGCCCTCTGGCCATCGATCTCTGCGCCACCTGTGCGACTCGGGATCCAACCTCCCCTCACCAGCCCCAGTCCTGGTACCTGGAACTTAGTCCGATCGGTAACCGGCGACTACGTGGGGTACAGGTTACCCGAGCGCGCCCCCGACCGACGCACCGACCTGAACGCGCACCGCGGGCCGGATGCGTGCGCGCTCCCGGACGCCCCGCCCCGCCCCCTTCGGGAGTGTGGCGGCGTGCGCGCCCCCGTGCCGCTCCCGCCTGGCGCTCGGAAAGGCGTCCCCGCAGTGCCTGAAAGCTCTGGGTCAGCGCCTGCCTCGCGCGTGGCGAGGAGCCTGGCACTCGTAGTATCAGGAGGGTCCTGGAACATGAGGCGGTGCGGGAGACAATTCCTGAAAGAACTGGGGGCCGTTGTCGGGCGGGGTTGTTCGGGCATTCGGGTGGGCGACCCGCGTAGGCGTGTGAAAGGCCCGCTTCGATAAGAGGGTAGGAGCGGCATCTCTGGTTAAAGGGTCGGGCAAAGTGCAAAGGGTACRGTCCAAGTTGGACAGCACCTCATCTAGCCATGGCGGCGTCTGGGGAGCCCCGGAGGCAGTGTCAGGAGGAGGTGGCGGCGGTGGTAGTAGTGGGCTCCTGCGTGACCGACCTGGTCAGGTTAGTCTGTCGTCGGCAAGCGACTTTCGGGAGGGGGTGGACGGTGCTCAGCGCCTAGCGCTGGGACTTTGGGGACCGACAGGGTCGCCCTGGATGTGAGCTACAGGTTTCCCCAACCCGCAGCCCGCCTTTCTTATTTGGAAAAGGGAGAATTCGGGTTTGTAAAGATACATGGCAGGAGAGGGATGAGGAGGGCAGGGTTTAGTGAAGGCTCCAGTATAATCAGAAGCGCCTCCAGACCTATGCCTGTCTCCTTGGCCAGGCTGCTGCGCCTTCCCCGTGACCTGCCAGGTGACTGCCACGTCATCCTACCTCCTAGAATAGGCCTACCTCACAGGGTTGTTGTGAGGACTAAATTAAGTATTTTGTCAGCCGAAACACTATCTGAATTGGGTATTCTTCGTCTGAGCTTGTTATGTAAAATAATGAGTTAAGCAGGGGTCAAAAAGACACCGTTCACTGTATTGATTATTGGCATTCCTGCCGTATTTTACGGTTACAGCTTGCTTTTCAGTATTGTTGTAATCACGGATTACCTTATGGTAACCAAAGTGTGAGTCAAAACAAAAATCCATAAACAATCTTTACAACCACTAAAAATTTATAATCAAACAGGAGCCGAAAACGTGCTAAATGAAGATAGACGAATTAGGTCCATGACTTTGGAGAACAGATCCTTCTGATTTATCATCTTTTTTAATGAAAATTGATTTTCTAACTACAAAATTAATTGTATGAAAAAAATCAAATATTTTAAGGAAATCCTACTTCTCAGATTGTTTCAGTTTAATATGTGGGTGAACAGTGTTTTATTATAATGAGGGTTTATGTCATTAAAAAAATTATTAGGCATACTGCAGTAAGACCTCATCTGTCCCTAAATCTTGTTTTGCCAAAGGATGACAGTAAAAATAAGTCACCAAATCCATGCTTGTGAGGCAAGTGTTCTACCACTAAGCTACAACTCCAGCCCTGTTCTTTATTTTTATTGGCCTTATTTATTTTTATTGGTCTTATCTGGAAATACTAACCCCTCCCCAACCCTCTTGGGCTAAAGGACTCAAGGACCCCAGGCCTGTCTCTACAATCCAGAGCCACACTCCACCAGAAGTTCTAGGAACTCTCCCAGAGAGGCCTCTTCCTGGCTGCCTGCCTATCTACCAGGGCTGTGTCCTCATTCCTGGGTGGTAATCTGCAGAGCCCAAAGTTGGGTGGAGGGAGGAACAGGAACATAGTTTCATTCTTGAGCCACCAAAAGGCAAGAGTCACCTGACTCCTTTATAGGGCTTTTAATGGGTGGGCAGGTGCTTTAACTTTACAAAAGGACTTCCCCTATTAGGAGCATTGTCACAGAGGTTGCACCTGCCTTTGCTCAGCTCCTTGGGGTTGGTGGCCCTAGTGACCATCCTTCTACCCTGAGTCATTGTCATTCCCTGACTGAAAACAATCACATCTGCATGTGGATTGTATCCTACTTAGCATGCCAGGTCCTTTATAGTGGAGTAAATATATATAATTTATTCAGGGGTAACAGCCTCAGACCCCTACTTTCAATTGCCTGTGTGACACCAGCCTAGAGGCCTTCCTGGCCCGCCTCCAGAAGATCTCTGAGTGCTTCCCCCTCCTTTCCTGACTCCTCTGCACTTGCCCACAGGCAGACCAGGCCAGCCCCTCCCTGAACTGTGGAGCCAGCTCCTGGCTGGCCCTGTTCCAATTCCCTGCTCACACTCCACCCAAGACAAGTTTTTAAAGCCTGTGTTGCTCCCTGCAATGGCTTCCCTTTCATCATAAGGAAGATTTTTCCAAAATTTCTGAATATAGGATTTTTGGTACAAGGCACTAAACCCAGTGGCACTTAACCACTGAGCCATATCCCTATCCCTTTTCATTTTTTTTTTTTTTTGAGACCATTTCACTGTTGTTTTAGGGTCTCACTAAGTTGCTGAAGCTGGCCTCAAATTGCTATCCCCCTGCCTCAGCCTTTGAAGAACTGAAATTAGTCATGCACCACCATGCTTAGCCTGAATGTAGGATTTTTATAAAAATCCTGCATCTGTGATGAACCTGGGGCCAACTTTGCTGGTTACAATGCATATCATTGTATTTTTCTAATGCTCCTGAAACAAATCACAAATTTAAAATCTTAACAGATTTGTCCTTTACATACTTCTGAACATCAGAAGTCTAATACAAGTTTCATTGGGCTAAAATCAAGGTGTCAATAGGGCTGGGCTCTTTTCTCAAAGCTCTAGCAATGACTGTTGGCTTCCTTTTCCAGTTTCTAGAGGCTGCCTGTGTTCCTCAGTTGGTCATAGCCCCTTTGTCCTTGAAGACAGCAGTGGTTGGTCTGTTTCTCATGTGGCATCACTCTCACTCTTCACCATTCTGCCTTTAAAGGAACCCTGAGGTTACAATGGGTGCCAATAATTCAGGATAATCTCCTTACTTTATTGTAGTTTCTTTTTGAAATCAAACAATTGTATAACCTTTAGGGAACCTTTGAATCTGATCAGTCTAGCCTCACATTTTGCAGATGAGGTAACCAAGAAAGCTTAAACAGCCCACCCCAAGTCATATAGCCAGTTAATGGCATAGTGAAGGCTGAAACTCAAGTCTCCCACCCCTTATCTTTCCATTCTGTCTTTCTACCTCTAATTCTGACTAGTAACATTGCCCTTTTCATCTGTGGTTCATATGAAAGTGCCATAGTCCGGCTACAGCAAAATAACCAGGGGGTGACGAAAAACTTGTGTATATTGATACAGCAGGAGTGGGAGCCTTTTATTGTAGGACAGAAGGGGTATATATATATTCCACACAGCTTATCTTAATTAACATAAACTAGATGCAGCAGTCAACCAATAAGGAATCTCCACACTTAATGGCTCGCTGGCGCCACCTCACAAACCACTCCCCCTGGCAAAATGCCAGGCGCCATCTTGACTTGTTTACATGAAAGCTTTTAGTCTGTGTATTCACTAAGTGTTTCCCTTATAATATGATAAAGAATATCAACTAAGGATTTTTAATTCTTGGGTCTAAAGATAGTATCTTCATTATTCTTCCTTATTTTCTTCTAGAGTTTAACTGTAACCAACCTGGATGCCATGCCTTTACTGTAGAATCACTTCGGAAATAAAACTACATCAATAGCTAAGCTGTTTGGATTGTATCCAAGTCAACTTTCTTTATATATTACATTACTGTGTGCCAGACACTGCTAATTCAATCAATGAGCAACTTTTTTTTTCATTTTTAACTTCAGAYTGCTATGAATAGTAAGTGCTATGTTATAATAATTTTAAAAAATCATTAGCTCATCCAACATGACAAACAATAGGCATTATTTAATATCCATCTATATTTATCACCATCCTCTTCCTTCTTGAACACTTATCTCTAAAGTTTCTTGTTGCAAAGATAAATCAATCCTGTTCTTACAGAAAATAAAGACAAAAGTTGCTCCAAAGACAAATTTCCATGAAAACCTAACAACATAAGATACATTTTTAGAAATTAGGTTCATAGCTTGATTAATCATGATTTCATTAATAGACCTTAATTCTTATGACATACATCACCTTTTTTAAGTTATTTATCCAACTCATTTTTATTACATTTACACTATGTATCAGGCAATTCTCTAGGAGAAAAGGATACCCAGTCAAAAAATCTCTACCTTCTGGAGCTTATATTCTAGAGGCGAGACAGATGCTATCAGTAAAAATAAGCAAAATATATGGTATGTTAAACAAATGCCACAGAGAGAAAGCAAGAAAGGAGGATGGAAGTACTAAGAATAAATCAATGACCACAGAAAGCCTCACTGAAAGATGATTTTAAATAAAGACCTAAAGGAGGAAAGAAAGCAATCCATAAATATACCTGAGGAAAGAGCATTCCAGGCAGAGGGAATAGCTTATGCAAAGGCCCTGTGCAGTAAACAGCAGGAAGTCCAGCATGGAGGAAAAGAGGAGGGCAATAAGTGACCAATGGACATTGGGTCATACTCGATGAGATGAAAAATCACTGGAGGAGTTGAGCAGAGGAGTAACATAATCTGACTGAGATTGTAATAGGATCATTCTGGGGGCTATGTTAGAAAAAAAGCTAAGAAGACAAGTGCAGAAGCAGGGAGACAGGTTCAGGATGACGGGTTCTTGCCCAGTGATCCAGGCAAGAAATGGTGGTAGCTTGAAAGCTCTACTGTGGGGAGAAATGAGCATCTTTTGATTATATTTTGAAGGTAGAGTTGATAAGATTTGTTGAGGAGTGAGAGGTCAAGGATTACTCCTGATTTCTGCAGCCTCTGCAACTGGGAGAGGAAGTTGACCTTTCCTGAGATGCAGAAGATTGTGAGCAGAACTGGGCAGGGAGAGGACTGTGTCAGGAGCTCAGGGTGGACATCCTAGGGTTGATGTACCTATTAAAGATCCAGAAGACAGATGTGTGAGTTTGGAGTTCAGAGGAGAGGACTGACCTGGAGATATAAATTTGAGAGCTATCAGTGTGTAGATAGTATTTAAAACCAGGAAGCAAGATGAGCTCACTGAGGATCTGAACTCCTGTGGCACTTCAACATTTAGAGGATGCATCTTTCATATGATTTATTTCCTGCCTTTAAGTCTCTGTACCCCTAAAACTTGTTTGAGACAATCTTACTACAAACACATTTCCATTGCAATAGACTATAATGTCAACTAATACCCTCATGTTATCCTTTAACATACTGTCAATTAAAAGTAATGGTTTTAGAGAGAAGGCTCATGTTCTCCCGAGCATTTAAATTTAATCCTTGGCAAATCAGGAAATTGTTGCTTAGTTCTCAAAAGATCAAAAGATTTGATAGTGAAATTAGTGAATTTGGAAGCCTTTACAGGTAAAACAGATGAAGATTACTTTTTTTTGTAAAGACTTTTATTTATTTAGTTAGTTAGTTAGTTAGTTGTAGATGGGCACAAAACCTTTATTTTATTTATTAATGTGCTGAGGATCAAACC